GTGGGGGACTGGGTGACAGAGGGCATGGAGAGGGCAGAGGTCCCAGACACCTCCATACCATCAAGACCAGCCTTCAGGAGCCACAGAGCCTGGGAGAGGCTGGAGCACCATGTGGAAGAGGATCCTGCTGGAGGACAGGTCCCTGAGCCCTAGTGGGATGAGCGCTGAGGGAACTGGCTCCTGTCATTGCAAGGCCACTCTCAATAACCTGTGATCAACTGTGGCAGCTGGGAGAGGACTGGAGCAAGGCAAATGTCACTTCTGTCTTCAGGAAGGGCACAAAAGAGGACAAGGGAACTAGAGCCCAGTCAGCCTCACCTCCATTTCTGGAAAGGTGGAACAGCAAGTTCTGGGAACCACTGGAGGAGTCAGAATGGCTTCACTGAAGGGAAGTTCTGCTTGACTAACCTGAGCACCTCCTGTGATGGAGTGGCCCTGCAGAGGAAGGGAAAGCAGTGGACATTCTCTGCCCAGACTTCAGGAAGGCGTTTGACACTATCTTCCATCAGATCTTCCTAGAGAAGCTGTTGATGAGCAGAGATTGAGGATGGATTGAAAACTGGCTTGGTGGCTGGATGCAGAGGGTGGTGGTCAGCAGCACAAGGTCTAGTTGGAGGCCAGTTAAGTACTAATGCACCCTAGGGATCAGTACTGGGTCCAGTCCTGTTAAACATCTTTGTTACCAAGCTGTATGATGGAACAGAATGCACCCTCAGCAAGTCTGCAGTTGACACCAGGCTGGGAGGTTCGTAAATGAGGGGATCACGCATCCATCCAGAGAGACCTGGACAAGCTGGAGAAATGGGCTGGCAGAAATCTTAAGAAGTTCAATAAATGAGAGTGCAAAGTCCTGCCTCTGGGGAGGAACAACCCCAGGCACGAGGAGATGCTGGGGGGCACCTGCCTGGAAACCAGTTCTGCAGAAAAGGCTTTGGGAAGATTATGTGGTGGAGACCATACTGACAATGAGTTCAGTGTGTTCTTGAGGCAAAGAAGGTGAATGATGGCTTCCTGGGCTGCATCAGGGGTGTTGTCAGCAGGGCAAGGGAGGTTGAGGAGGCACTGGTGAAGCCACCCCTGGAGTGCTGAGTCCACTGCTGGGCTCCCAAGAGAAAGTCCAAGAAACATGAGCATACTGGAGGGAGCCTAATGAGGGCCTTCAAAGATAATGAACTGGAGCAGTTAGCACATGAGGAGAAGCTGGGAGAGCTGGGACTGTCTGGCCTGGAGCAGAGAAAGCTCTAGGGAATCTCATCAATCTACGTAAATACCTGAAGGCAAGATGGAGCCTGGCTCTTCTCAGTGGTGCCCAGTGACAGGACCAGAGGCACTGGCTTCATACTAGAGGAGGTTCCCTCTGCATGTCAGGAAACGCTTTTTTCCTGTGAGGTGACCAAGCCCTGGCACCAGCTGCCCAGGCCAGTTGTACAGTCTCCATCCCTGCAGAAACTCAACAGCCAACTGGACAGTGACCTCGGGCAACCAGCCGTGTGTGGGCTTGCTTGAGCAGAAGCTTGGACCCCAACAGCCTCCAACCTCAAGCAGCCACAGTATGTGTGTGTACATTCAGCTGGGCAGGACCCCAACAGCCTCCAACCTCAAGCAGCCACAGTATGTGTGTGTACATGCAGCTGGGCAGGACCCCAACAGCCTCCAACCTCATGCAGCCACAGTATGTGTGTGTACGTGCAGCTGGGCAGGACCCCAACAGCCTCCAACCTCATGCAGCCACAGTACGTGTGTGTACATGCAGCTGGGCAGGACCCCAACAGCCTCCAACCTCATGCAGCCACAGTAGTGTGTGTACTGCAGCTGGGCAGGACCCCAACAGCCTCCAACCTCATGCAGCACGTTGTGTGTGTACATGCAGCTGGGCAGGACCCCAACAGCCTCCAACCTCATGCAGCCACATATGTGTGTGTTGCAGCTGGCAGACCCCAACAGCCTCCAACCTCATGCAGCCACAGTATGTGTGTGTTGCAGCTGGCAGGCCCCAACAGCCTCCAACCTCAGCAGCCACAGTATGTGTAGTGGGCAGGACCCCAACAGCCTCCAACCTCAAGCAGCCACAGTACGTGTGTGTACATGCAGCTGGGCAGGACCCCAACAGCCTCCAACCTCATGCAGCCACAGTACGTGTGTGTACATGCAGCTGGGCAGGACCCCAACAGCCTCCAACCTCATGCAGCCACAGTACGTGTGTGTACGTGCAGCTTTGGGTGCATGCACATGCTGCTACATTTGTGACTGCATGTGCTGGTGTGTTTCTGTTTGCAGCTGTGTGTGCAGTTGCATTTATGCACTGGTGGGTGGACTGTGTGTACATAGCTGTGCATGCAGCTGTGCATGTGTGCTCCCAGCTGGGTGTGCAGAGGGGTGCGAGTGCACAGCTGTGTGCATGTGTGCATTCCCAGCCAGCCATGCATGCACACCCCTTTGTGCTGCACATCGCGTGTCTGCAGTGTCTGCATGCGCATGCCGTGTTTGCACTCTGTGTGTTGGGGTGCAGTCCGTGCGTGCATCCACAGTTTTCGATGCACGTTTGTGGTGTGCAACGTGCACGTGCGCACATCCAAGTTTGTGGTGCGGGTGTGTTTGCGGTGGCGGTGTGTGGGGGTGTGTGTAGGAGGTGTAGGTGTGCGCAGGGGGGTGCTTAGGAGGTGTTCGGGGGTATTTAGGGGGTGATGAGGAGCGTTCCCACGTGTTCACGGTGTGTGTACGCGTGTACCCGCGGGTCCCCGCGCTGCGCATGCATGGCGTGTGGCTGCCCCCCCCCGGCATGCGTGTCTCGTACTGCGACTGCTCGACGTGCGCGTGCTCGAGTTCGTCGGGGCCGGACCCCGTGCGCGCGGAGGCCGTGACGTGGCGTTGCGGGATGCTGCCGGCGCTGCGGCTGCTGCTGGTGTCGGTGCTGGCGGCGGGGCTCGGCGCGGGACCCCCCCGGCACCGAGGGGCTGAGCTGCGGGACCTGGCCCGGGGCAAGGTGGAGGTAAGCGCAGCGCAGCGCAGGGCTGGGCGAGGCGGAGCGGAGCGGAGGGGAGGGTGCGTGGACCCCGCTGGCCGCCGGCGGCGGCAGTGGTGATGGAGTGTCTCGTCCTCCAGACCTGCGGCGGGTGACGGCTGAACCGCCTGAGGGAGGTAGGTGCCGCCGGGTGGCGGATGGGGATGGGGTCGGGGTCCGGGTCCGGGTCCAGAGCCGCCCCACCGCTGAGCCGGGCTGGGCCGGGCCGGGCCGCCCGCTGTGCCCGCAGGTGAAGGCGTTCGTCACCCAGGACATTCCCCTCTAGTATCCGCCGGCCGAGGCGTGCAGCGATCGGTGCGGCTGCGTCCCGGAGCGGGCCTCTGCTGGGATGGACGCTCCCATGGGATGGAGTGGGATGGGATCGGATGGGGGTAAACAATAGAACAGGGCTAGACTGAGTGGGATGGGCTGGAGGACAGGACAGGACGCAGTGGAGGACAGAATGAGGGGTGGGAAGGGGTGGGATGGAGGGATGGGGTGGAGGACAGGATGGTTGGGCAATGGGATGAGATACAATGGGACAGAATGGGGTGGGATGCAGTGGAGGATGGGCTGGGAGGGAATGGAATGTGACAGAAAGCAGGATGGGATGGGGGGTGGGAGGGCTGCATGGACCTGCGCAGTACTGTTGGCTCCTTAACACATCATCCAGCCATAACCTGGAGATGAAGCATCTGCCTGGTGCTGACCCTGAGCTTGTGCTCCTCAGCCACCGATACGAAGAGCTGGAGGTTAGTGGGCAGTGTGACACTTGCTGCCACAGCAGGGTTTGGGTGGATGGTGCCGACAGGCACTGAGCTGCAGCCCCTGCGTGTGTGCAGAGAATCCCTCTAAGCGACATGACCCGGGAGGAGATCAATCAGCTGGTGCAGGAGCTCGGCTTCTACCGCAAGGAGGCACCTGATGCCCCTGTGCCTGGGGAGTTTCAGTTTGCACCGGCCAGGCCTCTGCCCACACTGCCACCTCCCCAGACTGCCACTGCTGATGGCGAGAGCCCACCCAAACACAGCGAGGGGGAACACCCAGACCTCTAGCGGAGGGTGCTGCAGCCCTGAGGAGCTCCTGCAGCCAGTCCCCAGTGTGCAGGGATAAGGACATCACAGCACCTGGGGATGGTGCTGCAGCGTGGCAGAGGTGCTCCTGTTGTTACTTGGTGCTGTGTAGCCTCTGTGCCATGGACTCCCTGAGCTGCCCCAGGGGTTTCATGCGCATTGTGGCCCTCTCGGGTTCCGTGTACCTGTTGCTGCCCTCCTTCCCCTGCAGCCCTGCATTCCCAGACAGGAATGCTGCTGTGCTCCCTCTCAGTGCCGTGAAGTTTAGCCGACTCCTGGTGTTGGGCAGCGATATCCTACCTGCATGGGACAGAATGAAACCCTCAGCAGAAAGCCCCAGGTGCTGAGGGTTGATGTGCTGAGTCCTGGAGGTGGAAAGCTGTCCCCAGAGGGGTTATGGCTTTATGCCCCAGCAAGGTTGTCTTGTATAGAGCCCCCAGTAAAGCCTTTGCGTACGATTGCCTGCACCGTGTGATCTTTCCAGGGAGGGCTCAGTGGGGGTGCATCTTCCAGTGCTCTATACTGGGTGTCCTGGAGGCAGGAGGGGGCAGCAGTGTTACAGCAGTTTGTCGCTGGCAAGCTGACAAACCATCCCGTGGAATAACCTTGCTGTTCCTGTGCCGCTCCCTCTTCAGTGTGATGTATGGATGGGGCTTGGAATGAGCTGCTTTCATGGGGCACAGGTACGAGCCCGTGAGTGGATCCTGCAGTGCTGGAAACCAGCAGCTCTTGGTCAAGGTGGGATGCTGATGGTGTCACTGGGCTCTGGGCATCATCCCTGAGCAGGAGGGGCAGCATGTGCCCTACATCCCCCTGGGCTGGGTGAGCAGGGCGCCCACAGGCAAAGAGGTCTGTTGCAGCTGGCTGCCAGTGCTGGTGGCACGAAGCAGCAGTGTGGCCCGGAACAAGGACCCGAGGAAGAGGCGTCATCCCATAGAATAAATGTTTATTGCCCGGCTGGATTTGGAACGTGTCAACACAGGTGTAGAGACAGTGATGGAAGGGCAAGCAGTGCTGAGCACGTGGTGCCCTGAGCTGGGGAGGAAAGCAGGGGCTGCTGTTCTGGCTTGATCCTTGGGCCCCTTGCTCCCCTGGGACCCATCAACCCCCCTGCCCACTCCCCAGCACATGGGTACTGCAGCCCCCCCAGTATAGAAGCATCCCAGGGTGCATGTGCATGGTGGGAAGCAGGGTTTCAGCACAGGGCCATGGAGCTGGCCACGGCAAGGTGGCACCAGGCAGGGCCTATGGTGGACAGAGGAGCTTCCTCACGGGGGGGCCCAAGGAGAACCACTGTCAGCTGTGCTGCCTGCAGGATACACCGAGGTCAGGCCATGCAGCTGCTGGTCGCTGCCAGCCCCAAGCCTGAGGGTACAGGAGGGCCTGAGCCTCCTTGGGGCCCCAGGGGTGCTGCCCACAGGACAAACAACTCCTGGAGAACAAATAACTTAGCACACCGGTGTGTGGGAAGCAAGCCAAGCTGCGGAGCATCCTGGCAGTGCCTGCCTTGCCCTGCCCGCGTGGCCAGCCCACAGCTGGACAGGGCAGAGGGGGCTCCAGCAAGGCAGAGGCATAGGGGTGCCCTGGGGCAGAGCCCCTCCCCTCCACGGGCCTTCCTGGGGCAGGCAGCTCCTCGGGAGCAGGGGGAGGCAGGCAGGACAGGCTCTAGCACTCCTTCTGCCGCATGCGCAACTCGTGGCGACGCAGGTGGTTGTAGAGGGACTGCACATAGGTGAAGACACACTTGGCATCCGGCTTCTTCCCCATGATCATCATGTCTTCCACGTCCACCAGGGGCACGCAGTCCACCAGTGTCCTGTGGGAGTGCAGCACTCAGCACGCCACTGAGTGGGCTGCCCCACGGCAGGGGCTGGAACAGGCAACCCACACCCCAGGGGCTGCTGGTGCTGGGCACTGCTGCCCTCAGCCCCACTCAGCTCTTGTCCACCCCTCTGTACCCACACTTCTGCTGCTCCTGGCACTGTAACAAGCAAGAGGGTCTATCTGTGTGCTTGCCTGCACCCAGTGCACTCCTAATGCCCTCTACCCTGGCTCTTACTGTTGACAGTCACCCCTGCACAGGCTGTGCCCACCCTCTTCCTTCTCCAGCTGATGCTGGTGCATTGTAAGAGACGTACCTGCTTGTCTGTGCTGTGCCCCCACCAGAAATCCCACTGGCTGCTCCAGGGAAAGCAGGATGGAGTTTCATCACACGCTGCCCATCACTCCTTCTCCAAGCCCTGGCCCAGCTCTCCTCCATTGTTTCAGCTCTACCAGCCTGGTCCAGCCCCCATCCTGGACTGGAGCCTGAGGGGCTGCCTACCCAGGCACAGACCACCACCACCAGTGGGATGGGTACTGCCCAGCTACAACCAGCTCAGCACTGGTCTGTGTCTACCACTTCCCAGGCCAGACTCCTGTGCAGTGCTGGGGTCTGTGCAGAGCATCGATAGCTGCCTCCCAATCCCCACAGCCTCTAAGCTCCGCCACAGTCCACCAGTGGGATGATAACCCTGCCCTCTCTCTTCCTGCCCCAGCTCCATGGGCTGCCAGTATAGCTGGGGTAGTCATGGTGAACAGGCAGGCAGGACACAGCACAGAGGGGAACTGCCCACCTCTGTTTTCTCCTTTCTGCTGGGTAGGCAAAGCAGCAACGGTCACTGCTGCCACCACCCTGGCCCTGCACCTCTGACCAGGCAGCTGGGTAGGTGCCAGCACCTACCTGGGGAGAGACGACTGGAGCACCCCAGTGTGCTGCTACTGCGAATAGCTGACGTAGCCAGGAGTGCATACAGCAGAGGCTATGCTGGCGGCTGCTTTGTGCAAATGGGCAGCACCCACTGCTGCTAAGGCTAGCTCAGTTGGTCTGGCCCTGGGGCCACCCTCCAGTGGGGGGCACTAGGCTCTAAACACAAGAAGGGTCCAAACCCCATGCTGCAATGCACCCCCCCATACCCAGGCTACTGTAACTCCTGGTGGAATCCTCAGTCCCTCAGCACAACAGAATCCAGCAGGCACAGCTGAGGAGGGAGCCCCAGATGGTGCCAGCACCGTGGGGAGCACCAGGGCCAAGGAGAGGCCCCAGCCCAGGGCTCTACTAGGACCCTGCTGCTGTGCCCCACTGCCCCAGCTTTCCCACAGGACCTCTGCTGTGCTGGAGTCAAACGGCTCCAAGCCCACAGCTTGGCTAGCACTGGTCCTAGCTCCTGATGTGGTCTCGGGGAAGAACATACCGGGTAGCATGCACAGGGCCTTGGAAAAGCCCCCACCTAAGCTCCAGTGGCCACCCCCACTACCTCCAGCCCTGGCTCAGGGGCGAAAGCAAAGCAACGGCAGTGCAAGGAGCACAGCTCTGCCCTTATAAAGCCATTGTTTGGGACGTGGTGCAGCAGTGCTGCGCACAGCCCAGGGGAGCAGCTGCTCCAGCACAGCTGGGATGCCCCTGTAGACAGGCACAAACACTGCAAGACGAGGCAGGACCCAAACCTTGAGTCACACTTTCCAGGCTTCCCATTCTTGCCCATATATGAGCAGGCAGCACTGTGCAGGCTGGGCACCATGGCCCACGCCTGGCCCTGCACCCATGGGGCAGCCCCTGCACATCCTGGGCCACGGGAAGGAGTCATCATGTGCTAGTAGCAATACTGGCACACCTGGGGGGGGGTGGTGTCACCCAGACCAGGCACCATTGATGCAGAGCACCCCACACGGCATCCCCAGCAGCTAATGCCCTGCATCAGGCTTGGCCAACGGGGAGGGAAGAGCCATGGTTAGAGTCAGGGGCAGTTTAGACTGGATATTAGGAACAATTTCTTCCCTGAGAGGGTTGTCAGGCATTGGAACAGGTTGCCCAGGGCAGTGCTGGAGTCACCATCCCTGGCAGTGTTCATAAACCATGTAGATGAGGCCCTTAATGATGTTATTTAGTGGTGGCCTTGGCAGCAGTGGGGTAAAGGTTGGACTTGATGATCTTAAAGGTCTTTTCCAACCTGGCTGGTTCTAGGATTCTACAGCAGCTCTGTTCCCAGTAGCACCCTCCCCATGGCTGGAGACCCAACAGGCCCCCAGGGTGACGTGTCATGTTCCGTCCCATGTGTGTTCCCATCACCCTTTCCCCTCCCCAATTCCCATGGGTGCTATACTGCAGAGCTAGAGGCCAGCCAGCAGCCTCCATCCCTCTCTCCTGGCCAAAGTTTTGCTCTGCTGGCCAACACTGCCAGGACTTGCCCCTCGCCCATGGGCAGCCCCCAGTCTCTTCCCCAGCCATGGTGGCCGCTCCCTGGGCCAAGCCATGGAGGTGGGCGCAGGCAGATACGTGGAGGGGAAGGTTCTCACCATCGCTCCCAGGGGGGGTGGAAATGGGCTACGACTTTTTGGTTTTTACCAGCCCCTTCTGGACCAGGCAGCGATAGAATTCCTGAATGTATGTGTACACACACTTCCAATCTGGCTCGCGCATCCGGACCATGTCCTCCACGTCCAGCAACTGTGGACAGTCCGCGTGCTTCCTGGGGGCAGGGAGAGAGAGGGGCAAGCCAGTGACCGCAGCCCAGTCGGGGAGGGGAGGAAGAGAGAAAACAAAGAGACACAGATCAATGCAGTTCCCGTCCCTCCCCCGGGGAGATGCTGCTCTGCTCCCACATGCTCTGGGGGTGCACAATGCAGAGGCAGGAGGGCTCCAGGCACCGCTGCACCAAGGCCATTCAGTGAGATCTGGGGGGGGCACAAGCAAGGGATGGGGAGGGCAGGTGAGTGGCGTGGAGAGGCGTGAGGTCCAGAGATAAAGACAGACAGAGAAGGAGGAGTGTGGTGTTCTGGTGCGCCAGGTGCGCGGGGAACGGGTTCCAGAGCAGAGTGGCACTCTATATAGCCTCTATACAGCCATCCACTGGGAGGATGGGGGGGCAAGGCCAGCCCTCCTGTCCAGCTCCGCTTGGAACCACGGCAGCACAGCCCTGGTGCAGGAAGCTCGGGAGAAGATGCTCACAAGAGCTGGAGGAGGAGGAAGGACGAGAGGCCACCTGGCTTCCAGGCTGGAGCGATCGATGGCTCTCTCAAGGCTACGCACCGGGTCCCCGATTAAGACAAACAGTCTATCACCAGGAGCACCAAGAGCCAGGCACCTGGCCCTCTTCTCGCTTCCCCGAATGGCATCATGGCACCCAGGGAGCTCACAGGAGGTCCCTCCCAGCTCACGCCACAACGCCAGGCACTGGCCAGGATGGGACCTCCACCTGCCTGGCCCTACCCCTGGGCAGGGTGCTGGAGTGGACAAGTGGGTGGGAGAGAGACAGAAGGAAGGAGAGAGGGGCTGACTGACAGCCCTCCAGCTGGACGAGCTCCCATCTCTCAGCACCCAGGAAAACCAGAAGCAAAAAGGGAAGGGAAGAGACTGGAGAAGCTGCAACAGTGTTTTGAGCCCCGATGACTGTGAAAGGAGGCACCTGGTATGGACAAACCCTGCTTTCCACTCCCCAGGGGCTGAGGTCCTACACCCAGCACCCTGGGACGGGATGTACTGCCTGTGGTTGGGTGGGCTGGGGGGCTGCTGCCCTGCTTTTGGGTGTTCCCCCCCACACCCGCTCTCACCATGCTACACTGGGCTGCACTGACACTTTTCCCGCAGTGTCTAAACCTTGTTGCAGAACAAGGGGAGCAATGCTGATGGGCACCCACCTCAAGCACCATTGCGCCTGCCCACGTGCTCCCTTGCCCTGGGCAGCAAGCAGGAGAGCTGCCCGAGCCACCCCAAGCCCCCATGGTGGCACATGAGCTACATACTCTGCAGAGGAGAAGGCCACCTCAAAGTTGTGGCGACGGTTCTGGGGTGTCAGCTGACTGTAGTCAAACGCCTCGGGGAAGAAGTTGTGCACCAAGGCACAGAAGGCCATGCCATCACTCCAGCTGGACGAGAAGTTCTGGATGTCCACGTGCTGTGAGGGCAGGAGGGTTACTGAGGGGCAGAGTGACTAGCCCTGAAGATGGGGAGAGGGGGTGGTACTCACCTCATAGCCCCGGGTCTTGGCTCTGCACCAGTCCAGCAACATCTGCTTGATGCTGTTGGCATTGGGTACGCCAAAGCTGGAGGAGCGCTGCACCGCAGTGCGTGCCGCTACGGGGTTTGGTGAGCTGTGGCAGAAGATGCGGAGTGTTAACCAGCCAGTGCCCACCATCCTGGCCTGCCTGTCACCTGCCCAGCCTCACCTCCCACCCTCCTTCTGCAGCTTCTCCATCATGGCCTTGCGAGCCTGTGAGGCTGATGTCTTGGGCAGACTCTGAGCTTTCATCAGCTCCTTCTTCTTCTCAGCCTGGCGCCGCTCCAGCGCAGCCAGGCTGCTCTGCCTCGAGGCACTCTCATCTTCGCGGTCAAAGATGCTGGGGAAGAGATAGACACAAAGATAAGGGGGCCATGGGCACACAGTGGCCCCAGCCCATTGCCAGCCCTGGTGCTTTGAAGACCTCCACATCCCTGGGAAAGAAGAGGTGTGCTTAAGGTCCACCGCTGGCAGACACGTCTCCATGTACATGGACGGACCCATGGGGACCACTGGAGGAAGCAAGCATGCCCCAGGGACCAGGAAGTTTTGGGGGCACCCCAGCACAGGGACACTGTAGACTTGGCAGATAGGGTTTGTACAAGCAGACTGTTGACAGGGTCCATTTGGGGCTGAGACACGACCACCCACCTGCCAGTCTTCCTGGAAGAGGAGCTGTAGGATGACTTGGTTTGAACAAATGTGCTGTTGCCATCTGCAGAAAGAGAGAGGCCTTGGGCAAGAGCTGAGGGAAGCTCTGCGTGTGCCACAGGCAGGATTGGCTTGACAGCAGCAACACCCATGGTTAGACCCAGAGGATGCTGCAGGGAAAGGGCAGCAAAAGTTCTTACTATCTGATCTCTTCACATAACTCGACTCCATGGTTGTGCTACGGGAGGTCTTGGTACCGTCGCCTGCAAGAGAACAATGCAATGGGGAATCAGCTGGGGCCAGCTGCAGTGGTACCCACAGACACCCACTGCTGCCAAGCACCCTGGCATCCATGTAGTGCCACAGGAAGAAGTCTCAAGGGGCAAAGCCATGGCCAGGACAGGTAGAGAGGGCACTGACTGCATACACCCCCCAGGCAAAGCCCTGCAGCAACTGTTGGCTTGAGCCACTCAAGGACTGTGAGAGTACAGGTATAGGGTCCGGAAAACAGGTCTGAGATGCAGACAAGACCCCTATGATGCTGACGGTCTGGAGGATTGGCTGGGAAGTCACCAGAGCAGATTCCTTAAAGATCCCCAGGCAGCCAGAGCCAGCCAGAGGAGATGCAGTAAACCTCAGCCCTGACCCACAGTCCTGCTCCCAGTGCAGTCAAGGCAGACCCAGGACAAGCAGTGGGAGTGGCACACAGGAGCTGTGATGGCAGAGCACTGGAAACTCTGCACAAGTCCCCAAGGAGCTGGCACACAGCACTGGCTGTGCTGGGTAAGTGACCCCCACACTCCCCCAGCAAGTACTAGACTGGACGAGCCGCTCAGTCTTCGTGACGGTGCTGCGTGCCGAGCCATCGGCTGACTGGGTGCTCTGTGTGGTGGTGGTCTCTGTGGTGTGCCCAGCCCTCCCTGCCACAGCCTGGCTCCTAGTCTCCTGCAGCCGCTGGTCCCGCTCCTTCTCTCGCTGGTCTGCAAATGCAGGTGGGAGATGGCATCAGTCATGAGAGGCAGGAGCACTGGGCACTGTCCCACCACACACCAGGGGTCCTGCTGGCCATTGCTGGTCTAGAACTGGCTTATGGGAAGGACAGTGTCCTCAGCCTGGCTCAGCCAGGGGAGCAGCATAAGACCAAACATTTTCTCCTGCTTCACCACAGCCAGACAGCCCTGCACCAGTGTCCCACCAGCTCCACTGGCAATGCCACCACCAGGGCCCCAACCCCTGTGGGAATCACCATCCCCATGTACCTCGCTTGCGCTGGCGCAGCTCCCGCATGGCATTTCGGATCAGTCGCCGCTCCTCAAAGTCTGTTGTCTGATCCAGCTGCAAAGGAGGTGGAAGTCAGCATCACCTCTCTGCCACCAGTTCAGGGTCTCCTCACCTTCCCCAGGAGCCCAGCGGTGGCAGAGGTACCATCTTATCCAGCACATCCTCATCCTCAATCCTGTTCAGTTCCTCGACGTTCAGTTTGCTTCTTCTTTCCAGCTCCCTCACCTGGACCTTCTCCATGCCGTTGGGCAGCTCCGACTCCAGCCTTGGTGCCTGGGGCTGCTCTACCACCTCTGGTTCCATCTGCAAGGACAGCACTGTGCACCTGAACCCCTGCGAGCTCGGCCACCCCCACCCGCTGCTGCTCAGGGTCCAAGTCCCCCATCACCCTGACACTCGCCCAGTGCCAAGGGCGATGGGGACACTGGAGAAGACATGCTACATGCGGCATAAGAGCTCACAGCCGGTGGGATGCCGCAGCTGCCTGCAGTGACCAAGGCAGGCAGGAGAGCACAACGACCCCGACTGCAGCACCCCCTAGTCTGCGAGGGCCCAACCTGGCTGCCGAGACGCCTCCAAATATTCACCATGCTCCATCACCACAGGCTGCCCGGGCCCTCCAGCAGACAGGGACTGCCTGGGTGCTCCAGGCTGGGCAGTGCCTGGTGCAAGCAAGGTGCTGGCAAGGCCAGTGGGGGCCATTAGCAGCACAAGGGATTTCCAAGGAATTAAAGGACTTAGCAGACAGAAAAGCTTGTGCAGAAGATCAAGAGCCTCCCCCGCATTCCTGCCTGGAATCTAGGACACCCTGGCCCCACCAGAGCAAAGCCAGAATGCCAAGTCCCTTTCAGCACGACCCCCCAGCAATGTGTGGCAGGCAGCAGGCCAGGACCGGAATAGGGCATGGAGGCTGCAGAGAGGAGATGCCAGCATGGGAGGCCGAAGCAGCCCCAACACTCACCTGGCCCCATCCTGCATCCTGCTGCCCCGGCCTGGCACCCAGCCCATGTCAAAGCCAGTGGTGGGAAGTGTCACTGGCCGCACGCACCCATGCCACCACTTGTGCCCCACCACTGCTATGCGGGATGGAGCAGGACAGCTGCCTGCAGCCTGGCCGGAACGCTGACAATGCAGAGCAGGCAGATGCCGTTTGTCCCCCACAGTAGCGAGCCCAAATGGTGGCAGATCCCGGTGACATTACATTGCCTGTGCACCACAGCCACGGTCCCACCTTGTGCCAGGAGTGCTGCTTTGACTCCATGCACCCCCAGGGCTGCCAGAAGCCCTGTGGGCTGGTGCCACTCCCCACCCCACCGCTAGGCACTGCCACGGGGCAGGGCTGCCCGCACTCACACCACTGTTGCTCCGGGAGAGATGCAGGGCTGATAGCTGGCGCGTGCTGGAGAAAGTGGGCGGATGGGCCACGGGGCCGCTGCGCTCCTCGGTGCCCTCAAAGTGGGCGCAAGGGTCCTGTGCTTCCAGAAAGAGCGTGCTGAGGTCCTCCCCAGGGGAATCCTGCGGCCCCAGCCGCAGCACCAGCAGGTCGAGGCGGCGAGCCAGGCGCGCCAGCTCTGCCCGCAGCTCCCAGTGCTCTTCTTCCAGTGACCGCAGCGCCAGCACGAGTGGCTGCACCCGCTGCAGCGCCTGCTCCAGCTGCCCCTCCACCGCCCCCCGGAAAGCTCCCAGCTCCTGCCGCAGCTCGGCCAGCTCAGCCGCTCCGGCCTGCGCCAGCCCCTCCATGCTGACCCCCAGCATGGCAGCAGTGCCGGTGCTCAGCTGTCCTCTGCCCTTTAAAGGGGCGCCAGGCGCTCCCCCCCCGGCTGGAGGCTGGCCCGGCACAGCTCCGCGCCTGCTGGGCTATTCTTATCGCAGCACCCGGGGGTCCCGCACAGGGGTGCTGAGGCAGGTGCCAGCACTCGGACCGCTTTCAGCCCTGGGACCAGGTGGTTTGGCAAGAGGGAACTTGACAAGTGCGCTCCACCTGGGGCAGCTGCTAGGGCCCTTGACACCAGCCAGGGGTGGGGGCCTGTGCGGCACGGCAAGTGGGGCAGAGCCCCCAGGCAGGGTCAACCCCACACCATCATTCTGTTAGGTGCGCTCCAGGGCCGTGGACCACCCATGCACCCTTCTGCCTGGGTGCCCTCCTAACTCCTGGCCAGCATCACCCACAGAACAGTACCTCCAGTCCCAGGCTAGCACTGGTGACAACCTCGGCTACCAGCTGTGATGTCTGGGGACTTCCGTCCCCTGTGCTGCCTGATGAACACCCCAGGGTAACCCCACCAGCAAATGGACATGCTGCAGCAGCACTGTCCCCAAACCTCCACCAGTCCCCTCCACCAAAGCCCTACCTGGCAGGGCTGCCAGCACCGCTGCGGCTGCTGCCTCCTCCTCCCTGCCCACTGGGAGCACACCTGTAGGCCGTGTCTCCTGCTGGGCAGCCAATGGGTCCCAAAGCCCCCACCCCACTGGGTAGCACAGCTAATACCTTAATGAGAAGTGACGGGCTGCTCAGGCCAAGCCTGTCCAAGCGCATTAGCGCAGGGCAGCCACCCCTCCTGCAGGCAGCAGGACCCGCTGGCTCATACAGGCAGTACTAGAGGGCAGCCCTGCCAGGTTGTGGGCACTGCCTGCTTCATAGGGGGAGCCAATGGTGCCATGGCCACCAGCAGTGCTGTGCCTGCAGAGGCAGCCAGCTGAGCCGGGTGCTCACAGGGCCAGCAGCAAGGTAGTGCCGCACTTGACATCCCAGCTCCTGCCAAGGCTGAGTGCCTTGCATTACCCTAGATGGGCAGGAGCAGATAAAAGCACTTGAAGGGCTGTGTGTGCAGGGCTGCCTCCTGCGCGCACCCAGCTCCCCACCGCCAGCACGTGGGAAGGGGCCACATCCTGCTCTGCCCCAAATACAGCAGAGGGTTGGTTTGTTTTTTCCAGTCACACCCAAGAATCCCTCCCAGGCCAGGGCTGCTGCTCCGCTGCTGGGATTGCCAAGTGGGAGAAGGCAGGACCCCAGCCTGCAGCTGCAGTGTCAATGAGATACCCCTGGGAAGGCTTCAAAGCCAAAGTCCATTCTCAAGAGGGAAGACAAGAAGGAAGGGTTGTGATGGGTTTTTCCCTGAGCTCCTGCACCATAAAAGGTGTTTCAAATGGCAGGAGACCCATAAAAGGCCCCCAGCTCAGCTCCCCCACACCCTCAAGTGTTTGTACACACAGTGGCACAGTCCAGCATGCAGGGGGCTCCCATGCCTGGGGCTGGGCATCCACACAGAGATCCCCAGCATCTCTTTGTTTAAAACAAAGAAACAAAAAGCAAATAGCAAAACCCCAACCAACACAAACAGCCCACTCCCACCCCTCCAAAAAACCCCACCCAAAGAAACAGCCAGAGGCTGCAGACTGCTGCCAGCACCAACCCACCTGCCCCGGTCATTGTTCCCCACCTCAGGCCAGGAGCCCCCAGGTCGTGCCCAACTGGGACATGACCCCATGGCACCCAGCCCTTCTGGGCACTCACCTTGGTGACATTGCTGCTGACACTGCAGATACTGCTGACACTGCTGGGGATGGTGGTGATGCGGATGGGGGTGCTCCGCAGCCCCAGGGTCACCTCTGCAAGGGGAGCAAGAGGCACATGGGGTTTGCCCCAGCTCAGCCCCGTACCCGAGCAGTGGCTCCAGCTGGACTGCCGGCCTCCCGCACGCATCCTGCCTCAACGATTGCACTGAGCTCTGCCGAAGGGGAAGGGCTCTGGGCACAGCCAAGGGATGGGGCAGCCAGAACCCCCTCAGCACGGGCTCATCCTCCTCCCCAGGGGAGGGCACTTTCAGCAACATGCCATCTGGAGCCAAGACACCCCCGTGTGAGGGACTGCCCCAGGACATTTCTGAGCCAGTCACGTCTGTGAGCCAGCAGGGCTGGATCAGGAGCAGGGCATGAACAGTGCAGCACAGTGGCCATAGGGACAGGCTGCAAGACCAGATGATGGCCCAGTACGGAGATACCATGAGCAGGCTGAGCATCCCTGCCAAGGGGTGCAGGCCATCAGGCACACTTCTGCCACAGCCTCTGCTCTTCTGGCACTGCTCATGCTCAGTCACCAGCACTCAAATGACACTGTTGCTGTTTTTCAGTGATCCCTGGCTAGTCCATCACTACCCACTCCTGCCCACCTGCATGCTGGTTTCCACCTGCTCACTGGTGCCCACCACCCTGTCAGTGCCCATCTGCCCACTTGCATCCATTTATTATCTGCACTGCCCAGCTGTGCACATCATGATGTCATGAGCACTCTCCCATGGTGTTCATGGCCTTGCCAGCATCCACCTGCCTGGCTGCCGGTGCTCATTGCCCCCATGGTGCCCGATGGGTGCCCACCTCCCTGAGTAATGCCTACTTAGGCCCATCATCCTTAAAGTACCCATTTTCCCATCCCATCTTCACCACGGGTGCCCTCTGCCCCTGCCACCCATCTTCCAGAGCCTTCTGACGGATGCCACACGTCTGTGCTACCCATCATCCTCACCCCATCCCTGATGGCTGCCCCTGCCCTTGTCACCCAACTTCCTGCACGATGCCCACCTGCCCGCTGGCTGCCAGGCGTGGCCAGGACGCGGGGTGTGAGGGGCTGCACGCGCCCATCCTTGATCTCGATAGTGAAGTAGGTCTTCATGCCGTCAAGGCCAGCACCGGGACCGGGACCGGGGGCGACCGAGGCCGGGCACTGCTCTGCGCCTCCTCCACCGCAGCCCCGCGCGTTTTGAGAGGGCCCTGGCGTGGCCGTGCGGGGCCCCCGCTGCCATTGGCCGGGGCTGGCCCGTCCCCCCGCTCCCCCCGCAGCGCTGGGGGCCGGCCCCGCGCCGGCAGGGATGAAGCGCTGGGCGCGCTCCCGCACGGAGGCAGCCCGCAGCGGCGGCGCGGCGGGGCTCGGCTCTGCGGGGACGTGAGCGGGGGGTCACCGGGCCTGCAGCAACGCGCGGGGTGTCCCCGCCACCCGTGATGCGCTCGCCGACACCACGCATGTAAGCTCCACGGGGTACTCTGCAGGAAGCATGCCCAGCCCTTGCCCTGGGGTGCCCCATCACCCCCCTCCGGTGCCCTGCCATGCACGAAGCACACAGTGCATGCTGCCCTCCAGGGACCCCACCACACATGCAACGCTTTCGGATGCTGCCACCCTGGGGTGGTTGCAGCCCCCTGAAGCTTGTGTGTCATCCTGTCCCCATCCTCCCCCCACCTCTGCTGGGGCCTGGCTGCTTGCGCACAAGGGTGGGGAGGAATAAATGTTGGACAGGGAGCAGGAAAGCAGGCGCAGTCATCAGCATCCTGACACCATGAAGCTGTGTGCCTGCCCAGGCTCCACGATGGACCTCCCACCACTGTGAAGCAAAGCGGAGGCAGCTGCTGTAGGATCTTACCTGTGCGGCCAGGCAGGCGCAGGGAGGAGGATGTTTGCTCCCACCGGTGAGTGTTCAGGCGAGCCGGGGTCCCTGCCACATCCTGGGTTGGCACTGACGCTTTGGAAAGGACAAGCCAGATATGCAAGGTTCAGGACAAGGGGAGCAGAAGGTCAGCACAGCACAGGGTTCTCTTGCCATCCCTGCCCACCCCTCTGCCAAGCACAGCACCCTGTGGATCCCTCCCTGTTACCCCACACTCTGAGGCATAGAGCTGAGCTCTGGCAGCACTCGCAGGCAGCCGTGCACCCCAGGCAGCTGGCTGTGCCCTGCAGCACCGAGCCACACTGTGGAGCAGGGCAAACCAGAAACTGGGGTACCCGCACCCTGTCGAGTCAGGAGTGGTACCTGGAGCCTTTGCCAAAACACTGCCATCACCCCTGCGCCCACCAGGCACTGGCACAGCATAGCCAGCCTGGCAATCACTTCTGGAGAGTAGGAGTAGGTGGTGTTCCAGTCCCCATCCAGGGAGCCCCCAGGTTGCAGGTAGGCACTGAACAGGCAGCACTATGGCCAGGGACAAGAGTCACTGATGCCAAAGTCCTGCGTATCCAAGGACTCAGCCTTTCCCCAGCACCAAGGTCTGAGCCCCTAGTGAAGCAAGTGATGTCTGTGTCAGATCCTGCATGCTTCCCTCTGGCCCAAGGGCCGTGCCACGCTGCAGCCCACCACCCCCAGCATCACCCCAGGGCTTTGTCTTCCCAGGAGCAAGCAGCTCCTTGGGGCTTCTTGGAGGGATAGGACCTCTGCCTGCAAGGGTGACTGAGGAGGATGCCTGACCCTGATCCCTGGGGGCAGAGAGCTGCTTTCTAGATTTGTTTCCTGTTCCCTCCTGGCACAGCTGTGGGGACAGTTTTCCCAGGAATAGGGAGAGGGCAGCTGCTGGCCCCATGACCTGTCAAGGCTGTGGGGAGGACCCAGATGGTGCTGGGTGCTGGCTGGACCATCGACTGCAGCCTCGGGGCGGGGGGAGGGGGGTGGTCAGGGCCAGCAGGGACATGGCTCCTGGCCTTATTGGGTCAAAGAATGCAAAAGGACGGAGTTTGCTGCCGGCATGGATTCCCTTTCATGGCCCTGCTGCTGCCTGGCCTGGCCTGGGGGACGGGTAAACAGCCCGTCCAGCACCATGCTGGTGCAGGCACTCCCACTGCAAGCTGGGGGACAAATGACCCCTGGCTGGGGATTGCCCTTTGTTAGGCCGCATCCTGCCCTCACATTCCTGCCCCAGACCGCATGGACTTATGTCACGTCCCCAGGGCTGACGCCCTTCCTGGCTTCATTGGGACACATGTGCTGCAGGGCAAGGGGGGCAAAGCACTGCCTAGCTGCGAGACTTAGGGCAGAGCCCCAGTTCTCCCTCCCCATGGGACTGCACTTACCTGATGACTGCGCCCTGCACCTCCCAGCTGGCACTGGCACATGGCCATGCACCGCGGTACCAAGCTGCAGGGAGAGAAACAGGCAGAGCAGTCAGCATACACCATCAAGCCTTCACCCACAGGACTGCTGGCCCCTGGCAGTGGTGGCCCCAGCCCGTGCTGCCATGTGTGTACCTGGCTGCCAGCACTGGGCTGGCTGGGGGGGGGCTGCTCTACGTGGTGGCTTTGCTGCGCACTGGGCTCCTGGGTGGTGGCAGGGCTGTCTGGGCTCCCGTTCTTCCAGGCTGCCTGGTGCCCATTGGGTTGGGCAGTCACAGGAGAGCACAGCTGACTCCGCTTCAGGTCCTTGCCAGCATTTTTGAGCTGTGGAACAGGCTCTGGGGCCAGCTGCAGCTCCAGGAGCACTAGGGTCCCCGAAACTGCAGCTGTGGGAGACAGAAGAGGCTGTGCATGAGGGGAAGCCTGCCACTCCCTGCAGAGCATCCCTGCTCCTTCAGCCACACCAGGCATCTGGCTTCCCTGCCTGCACCCTTGGGAGATGCTGCGCCACCCTCTCCATCCTCCCACCCCTGCCCACAGCTCATCCTGGTGTTGCTCTGGCCCTGGACATGCACTCAGATGGGGTTTTTGCCACCAGCATTCATGGGAACTCACCCTGGGTGCTGGGTTTCTGGGAGTCTCCTGCCTGCCAGCTGTGTAGCTCCTGCATCCCAGCTGGGATGCATTCCTGGTTCACCAAGTCATCTTGCTCACGGGCCTGGGGAGAGCAGAGGCTGAGAGCGGAGCCAGCCCCACTCCACTCTCTGACCAGATCACCCTGCCCTATCCCTGCCACAGCCTATGGCCTCTTCCTACACTGTGCAGGCAGGGGCCTGGGTGCTGCCAGGGACAGACAAGCCAACTCCTGCACAGGGGTCACTGCAGGAGGTTGGCAGGAGGGCAAGTGTCCCCACACCCTTCTGCCTCCACCAGGTACGGAAGTGGATGCTGTGTCTATCAAAGGGGGGGAGACGGACACCAAATCCCGCGCACCCTGGGGCTCCTGGCACTCCTCTGTGTGGGGCTGATGAGCACTAGGGCATGGAGCAAGGAGCTGGCTCTTGCGTCCCTCTGTGGCCCCTGCCAGGACTACACCAGTCTTGTCCAGCATGGATGCCAGGAGGTCGGAAAGAAAGGACAGCCCCTGCCCAGTACCCCCTGTCCCTTCGTGCCCCCAGCCCACACTCTGTGCAACACGGAGCACCCAGTTTTTCATCACCCTGTCTCTGCCTGTGGCACTGGTGGTGCTGGCAAACGATAGGATGCTCTTAGTGCAGGACCACGCACAGGTTACAAGGGTGTCCCTGACATACACCTGAGCAGAGCCAGGATGTCCCGATGTCACCAGCCAGGGCATAGGGTGCCAGTCCTGGCTGTGCCAGAGCTTCTGGGATCGTTGTGGGCTCCAGGGAGGGGGAGGTGGAGAGGAACCCATACCCTGAGGGGGCACAGGGAAACCACGACCCCAACACAGGTGCCACTGCAGGGAAAGGGCCTCAGGCTTGGAGTAACCAGACAGACAGTGGAACAACCATGCTGGCTGCTCAGGAGGTGTCCCGGCACAGACAGACCTGGGGACAGCATGGCAGCATATCTGGATGGGGAAGGCAGACAGTGCTGAAAGGTGGCACAGGCCCATATCCCCATACAGCCTTGTCCCATGGCTGCATGGCAGGCAGAGCAGGAAGCTGGGCTCAACGGAGGCAGGCGCAGGGACCCATGCCTTCCCACTTGCCTGTGGTTACAACCAGTGTTTTCCCTTCACCACCCTCTCCCCCAAAGGGCATCCCTGCATCACTCTCTCCCCCAAAGGGCAGCACTGCATGACGTCTGCAGAGGCTTCCTACTGCCAGGAGACCTGCAATCCCCTGCAGGGTCACCGCCACCATGCAGAAAACCCCGACTGCACCCATTGCTTCCAGTCCTGCCCACCAGCTCATCTCTCCCCTGTACGGAGAGCTCCACAATGGCTGGTGGGCACCAGCCTTGCTCCAGTGAGCCCAAGCCCAACAAGGGCCAGTAGGAGAAACCCACATGGAAGAGTGCTGGGGGATCCAGGCTTCTGCCTGCACCAGAAAACTGATGAGCAGTGCACCAGGCACAGCGTAGGTCACCACAGACCTCTTGCCTGCAGCACTTGTACGCAGGCTGCACCCTATCACCAGCTCATCACTGCTGGAGGCACACTGACATAGCACAGCCCACCCGTGTCCCCATACCCTCAGACTCCACCTGCCCCAGTATTCCTGGGTGGGTGAAGCCAGCATGCCCAGGGGCTTGTGTCCCAGGTAGGCTGACAAAGAACTCAAGGGAAGGGCAGGCAGGTCTTCAGTGGTCCTGATTCCCCAGCAGCACCATGCTCACTCACCGCTGAGCTGCTGGGCTCCTGGGCAGTGGGCTGCTCTGCAGCCCCTCCATGGCCACTCTCCTCCGGCCCGGCCAGCGCTGGTGGCTCTGCATCATCCTGCTGGCTGCTCTCCCTGCTCCTGGCTGTGTCCAAGGGCTTGCCACTGGCCTCACCACAGCTCTGCCCACACCCTGCCAGGGCTGGCAGCTTGATGTCACCCCTCTGGCTGCTCTTCTCCCTCCCAGCCAGGGCTGGTGTTTCAGCATCATCCCTCCGACTGCTTTTCACATCCCCAGGCACAGTGCAGGACTCACTGCCGACCCTCTGGGTGCTCTGTGCTTTCCCAGCCAGGGTTGCAGCTGGGTAGCAGCAAAGGCAGTGTTTAGGAAGGAGCTGTCCATGTCATGGGCTCTCCAAGGTAGCGGCTCCAGGACATGGGGATGATGCCTCACCTTCGATCTCCTCAGCCCGTAGCTTGCGGATGGCAGCTCGGATCAGCTTGCGCTCCTCGTACTCACCTGCTGCCCGCAGCTGCAAGAGGAAAAGACATGGGAGAGAAGCAGGGTAAGCCCCAGCACACACATGGACGGCCCTGGCACACAGCTGCCTCCGGCACACAGACACTCACCAGTTTTGTCAGCTCTTCCACATCGGTGATGGCTTCAAGCCGCCGGGACAAGGTGGCCAGGGCTGCCTGCTGCTCCTCATCCAGGTGCCTGGACCTGTGTGGAGTAACAGTGGCTGGTGGGAGCTGCTGTGGGTGTTCAAAGTAAGTCTCCTCACAGGCAGCCAGCAAATTGAGGCAATGCCCCCCGACACACCAAGCCACTTGCACCGGCTGCTCCCACCCTAACGCCCATCCAAACCTGTCCAAGCCACAGTGTGGCTGGACACTGAAGCCACCATCCTCTGGGACAGAGGCAGGGGGTGAGTGGGAGCCTGGTCCCAGTCCAGACTCACCGTGGCCAGTTCTCCTTGTTGTCCTGCGGGTGGCTGCCACGCTCGGGGCGGAAGCGCTTGGATGCCAGAGCCTCTTCCTCGCGCTCCAGCTCCTGCCGCTGCAGTTCCCTGATGGCCGAGCGGATGCGGCGCCGCTCAGCCAGGTCCAGCGTTGCCTCCAGCTGGGTGGGACAGGTCCGGGCTCAGCACCGGCTCTCGCCGCCCTTGCTCAACTGTGGTGCCCCCCATGCTGCCAGGTCCATACAATGGGGCCAGCTGCTGGCACTGTTTTGCCCCAGGGGAAGCAGGGCAGGATGCTGGGACCAACCGTGGCAAGGAGGGGCTTCCAGGTGGGTATGTTAGGGGCAAGGAGACAGGGCACGTGGTATAGATGCCCATCGGTAGTCCACACAGCCTCCAAGGGTGGGTTCCCTGCAGCCCTACCCCACATGCCACCAGCACAGGGACGAGCACTCCTATCCATGCCAGCCCCTCCAGCAGTAGGGGGAACACACAGCAGAGTCTGTTCTGCTCCCACCCCCGTGGCCCTCACAAGGTGCTGGTTGGGGATGTCGCACCACCATACAGAGGAGGGTTTTCCCCCATCCCCCTACAGCCCTCTCCCCTACCCTCACTAGGGGATGGCAGGCAGCTCTTGAAGCCAAACCTGTGAGCAGAATCTGTCCCAAATCAAAGCCCAGTCCTTTGTGCGTGGGAAGCATAGCCTCAACCTCATCACACCCCCTCCATGAAAATCTTATAGGTGTTCCTTAGGCTACCAAAGACCACTCACCAGGACTTGGCAGGGGCACCCAAAGCCCCAGTCCTGCCCCTGGCCCAAGTGCTTTGGGGGGGGTCATGCTGAAGTGGGGGTGGAAGGCTGCATCCACAAAGAAAGGCCAACCAGGGCAGGCACAGGCCCACTGTCCTGCTGCGAGACATCACGGCTGAGCCAGTGCCGAGAACCCAGGAGGCAGTTTCCCACAGAGCTCATTCAAAATAAACCCTGTGACCCACAGCAGCTGCTGTTGTCGTCAAGCCCTGGCATGCTGGGAGCAGCCACGGCTGCACCACAGGACAAGAGCATCAGTCCCCTTCCTTCTCCTCCCACAGGCCACTGCCAGGCCACTCATCCAGGCTCTTCAGGTTGTGCTGCACCAGGAATCAGTACTGGTCCCTCAGCCAGATCCAGTCAGAGCAGTGCTGAGGGCCTCCAACTACTGCCCCCACACAGAAACCCCCCTGCACACAGGCCCCAGCAAAGCCATAGCCCTTCATGCTCCTTGCTTGGGGTCTGGGGACCAGGGGAGGATATTTCCATCCCAGTGAAACCGGCAGGTATGGAGCTGCCACGTACCACCACAGTGGTAGCCAAAATTGTGCTCTTCCAGCCCCTACCAGTTTTGAGGCCCAGCCAGGAGCATTATCCTTCCCCAACTGCGAAGACTCCAGCAAGATGCTTCGCAGTTTGGACTGTCACCCCCAGGGCATCTCCCCTCAGCCAGCCTGGTGCTAAAAATGCACCCAACCCTGAGGACAGTCACTTGAAGTCAGGGTGCTCCCTCCCACCCTGGCAGCCCCTGCCATGCTGGCTCCCAGTGCCATCCCTCCCAGCACACTGCAGCCACTTGTTGAATCCCATAGCAGCCAGATTATTCACCTCTGGGCTGGAGCTGGGGCCTGCAGCCCCCCATGCTCTTATCTGGAGCTGGCACCTCTGGTGGTGCAACGGCAGGGAAGTGGCTGGGAAGAGCAGGAGCCACTGTGCTGCCAGGACAGGGGAACGTCAGGGAAGAAACTAGCCCCTCAGTCTACAGGGCCTCCCATTTCCCATCTACGCCTGCCCTGCCTGGCCTTGGTGATGCTGCTGCAGGCAGACTGTCTGCAGGGACAAAGGCATCGAGATGCCTTTCCCCGTGCAGCTCCAGCTGAAGCCAGGAAGCCCAGCTCTGCTGTTCACAAGGTGGCAGCAACAGGCTGGGGGAGTGATGGAGTATAGTCCAGGCCAAACAGGAGCTGGAGGTGCTGGCCCGGTGGCAAGCACAGCTTGCTCCAACCATGCAAAGGCCCTGAGGACAGAAAAACTCCTTCACCACATACCAAGAAGCCAAGCCCCTGGTAAGGCTAAGGTGCTGGCTGTGTATGGCTCTGCCCCAGCAGCTGGGTCAGGGTGACAGGGGGAAACAGGAGTAGCTGCAGGAGCTAGGAGTGCTGGAACAGGAGGATGTGATAGAACACAAGTGCCATGCACTCCAGAGCAGGGAGCATTCTGGCACCTGTGTGCTGTGTGACACCTGCCTGCTAGCTCCAGAGCCAGCTCTGCTTGAGAGGCTACAGCTGGGATCTGACCTGCACCTGGGTCCTGGAAGGATTCTCACAGGAAAAGCAGTGGCAGGACAGGAGAAAGAGCCTTGTCTCCAGCCCACGTCAGCATGGAGCTGGGATGAGGCAAATGAGTGGCTTTTGAGGTTCCATGGCCAGCATCAAGGAGGAACGTGCCGGAAACCACAGCTGGAGCCAGAGATGGGAAAGGGCTGAGGGGCCCTTCCCTGCCAGCACACGCAGGCCCAGGGACTGGTACATGCCAGGGCCTCACCAGCCCTGCCCAGCCAGCAGCAAATTAATGGTTATGAGCAAACACCCGCCTCGGCACACACAAAGCAGCTTTGTAAAACCGGTGCTGGCAACGCACTCTTGAGCTGCCTTCCTGATGATACCCAAGCACAGCAGTGTTGAGAGCCCCAGCACAGTAAGCAGCTCCTCAGGGAGTAGCCCTGCATCCACCTGGCTCCCCAGAGCAGCTGAGTACAGAGTGCTTGGGAGGCTGGAGCCCAGCCACAAGGAAACTGCTCAAGGGACAGGACCTCAAGCACCTCCTGCAGCCCCAAGCTTTGCTGTCACCTTTGGAAGGACTCATGGAGTGTAGCTGCCTTCCAGGCAGAGGAGAGCAGGAAGGACAGACAGGCAATGGGTAAGTGGCAGGGATACAACACCCCTCGGGGCCACTGAAACTTTTCCCAAAGGCCACTGGCTGCAAGACGGGGACCTTATGGCCACAACTTTTCTCCAGCCTGTCCTGCCTCTGCCTGCAAGGGGATTTGCATCCTGCCTGTTTAATTAATCAGGCTGAGATCTGGAAGGACGGGGTGAGGGAAGCATTCCTCAGCACTGGGCCAGCAGACCACATCCTGGAGCTCAGCACAGCCCCGAGCACTCAAATAACCCCCTCCTTCCAGACACCCAGCTAAAAGCCACCCTGCAGCAGCACCCACCACATCCCCCCCAGTTCTCTCTCTAGGTTCCTCAAGGCCTTGATCACCTTCGTGTTGCACCATAGGTTCATCCCAACTGGCTTCCCCCCTGGACTGGAGTACCAGCAGGCAGCAGGTGAGCGAAATGCATGGATGCCTATGGGAGGGAGATGGGGGTAGAGCTGGGCAGCTCCCAGCACAGCAACAATCCCAGTACGAGGGCTGCAGGGGCCTGCTTGCATTCTCCAGCCTCCTTCTTCTAGGGACCCCAGGGATGTCACGCACTGCTGCTGAAGCCTCACTTGCTGGGAGACAGGAGGAAAGGAAGCAATCTGGAGCAGAGGGCTAGGAGAGCAAAGGAGCAGGGAGGAAGCGGTGGGAGAGGCAGTTTTCCCTTATATGGACTAATCCTCCTCCAGCTGATCGGAGCCAAAACCTAACCAGAAAGAAAAATAATTCCATCCCCACCTCACGTCAGCTTGGAGCAGGCTTTCCCCAGCCGAGGCACAGGGAAACCTGAGCAAGCTGCTCTGGGCATGCAAAGCCCCACCATGTCAAAGACAAAAATCCACCTCCTTAGGCTGGCTAGAAATCAGCCACCACAACCTGACACCCACCCCATCGCCACTGCTGGGGCTTCATTTCAGCCCAGAGACCTCAGCTGGGACATGCCAGGGCCGGAGCACTGGTAGTATGGGGAGAAAGCCCAGATCACCCATCCCTGCTCCTCCAGGCCCCCACGCTGGCCCCAACGGAGGGCAGTGGGCTCCTGAGCTCAGGAACAAGGGGTAGGGCTGCCCCTTGTCGCCCAGGGCAGGCTGAGGACGGCTCGTCAGGAGGATCCGGCAGCCCCCGCCGGGGGCCCGGCGCAGGTCCCGCGGCACCCGGACCCTTTCCTGTTCCCGCAGACGCCCCTTCCCGGCTGACTCAGCTTCCTGCCGCTCCAGCGCCGTCCCGGGATCACCCCCGGGACACCCGGCAAGGCGCCGGCCCTGAGCCCGCCGGGGTGGAGAGGACTGGCGGGGCTGCCCGGGGTGGGCAGCACGTTGTAAGAGATTCCCAGATCAGCCCCGGCTGAGCGGGTCAGAGCCCAGCGCCCACAGTCCCACCGTCGGGCTCATCCCAGTACGAGCCCAGTTGGCTCCGGCAGCCGCGGGGCCAGGGCTCCGCTCCAGTCCTTGCTCCCGAAGTAAGGGAGGTGCTTCCGACGTTGCTGCAGCAGCGGCTGCACAGGGGGCCCTGCCCAGCCATGCGGACACAGGGCATGGGGAGCTTCTCCCGGCACCAAACCAGGCCCGGGCAAACAGAGGAGCAGATTCCCGGGCCAGACGGCACCGGGAGGGCTGTGAGCAGGTAGCGGAGGCGGCAGCCGCAAACGTCTCAGGAGGGAGCCGCCGGCCAAGGCCATGAAGCCAACAGACAGACGGCACAGCCGGAGCTCGGGTGGCGAGCAAAGGGCCGAGCGTGGCCAGAGCTGCAGGGCCGGAGGCTCCGGAGTCTCCGGGGCAGGGCGGCGGCTTGTGCTCGGCGCTCACCGGTGCCCAGGGCCCCAGCCCAGACCGGGCTCACCTCAGGAGCCGCTGGCCGGGATCCCCCAGCACTGCCCCAGCTGAGGGAAGCGGCAGCTCCACCACTCGCGGAGGCGCGGACAGGCCCAACGCTGCCGCTGAAGCCACAGAAGCCAGCGCGGCCGCCCCTCCCCCACGTAGGGTCACGGAGCCGAGGCAGGCAGAGCGACCAAGGGCCCCGGCCCAGCAGGCGCTGGGACTCACCAGCTTCCGCAGCGCGCCCTCATCCAGGCCGAGCAGGCTCTCCTGCGACATCTCGCCGCCGCCACGGACCGGCACAGACAACAAAGAGCGGCCGAAGCGGCGCGGCAGAGCCCCGCGCTGCGCTACGCTCCCCAAGCGCCCGCCACCGCCCCCATTGGCGCTTCTTGCCGGGCGGGAGCCTCCGGACAAGCCACGCCCCGTCTGGCCACGCCTCTCCACGCGAGGCCACGCCCCCACTCGCCCCGCTCCGATCCGCCCGGCGCTGCCCCTCCCGCCGCAGTGCGCGGCGGTGCTACCTCCAGTGCAGGGTCCTGGTGTCCCCCCGTTACCGCCGGTGTGCCCCGGAGTCCGGCCTGCACCTGCCCCTGCTCCCTCTCCTGCCTCAGTTCCTGCTCCCACTTCTTCCCCTCCTTCTGCCTTAGCCCCTGCCCCAGCCCGCAGGAGAAGCTGCTGGTTTCTTCTCCCACGGAGCAAGGGATGGGACAAAAGGAAACGGCCTCAAGCTGCACCAGGGAACGTTTAGATTGAATCTTAGGAAAAATTTCTTCCCCAGAAAAGTCGTCAGGCATTGGAACAGGCTGCCCAGGGCAGTGGTGGAGTCACCATCCCTGCAAGTGTTCACACACTGTGTAGACGAGGCCCTCAGTGCCATGGGTTAGTGGTGGCCTTGGCAGTGCTGAGGTAACAGATGGACTTGATGATCTTAAAGGTCTTTTCCAACCTGACTGATTGTATGATTCTATGACAGCTCCTTCCCAAACAACTGCTAAATCAAACCCCTCTAAGCACTGTGCCTCCCAACAGGCCTTTCCTATCCCTCTGCCAGTCTCAGAAGTGACACAGTCTTCACTTGCTGGATGATTGCTGTGTGCCACATGTGCCACATGTGCCACACAGAGGTCTCCACTGCCTGCAGCTCTGCTCATTACACAGTCCCTTGGCTGAGGTTGCGCCTTGGGAGCTGGCACAGCTGTCAGGCAGCAGCTGGCAGCAGCATTCATGCCTTTGGGGTGCGGGTGTCCCCACTGGCAACCTTGAGCTGGTGGTGGCACAACTGGTTTGCAGGTGGCATGGCTGGCTGCACTGATGCTGGGCTTCCTGCACAGAAGGCCTAGCTGCAGAAACACACTGAACTGTGCTGATAAAGCAGCCTTGGATGCACAGCTCTCAGCATGTGCAGTGGTATTTATCCTGCCCCTGCTCCTGGAGGTCTGCACCTACCTCTCCTGGTTTCATTCACCCCATGTAATGACCCAGCCTCATTTTTGCAGACACACCACAAAGGGCTGGTGCAGCCTGGAGCACACAGCTCTGCTCGGTTCCATGCACACCCCCTGGGACTCTCCATGACAGTGAGGGGTGCGTGCTTCCAGCCAAGTGCAGCCTCGGAGAAAAAGACCTTCTTATTCCCATGGAAATGGGGCAAGGAGAGATTTCCAGCCCTCTCAGTGAGCACAGGGTGTGGGGTACCAGGCCTGCCTCTGGGAAGAGCAGGGTGGGATGCCAGCAGCCTGCTGCCCAGCACATCCAGAGTGGGCAGGGAGGATGCGATGCCACCCACTGCAGAAGCCATAGGGCTGCCATGAGAGGGCGCAGGCAGCAGATTCCCCTGCGGATGGGACAGTCATGGGTGCCTTGGGTTCCTTTAGTAGGTACTACACGGAATGCTAAGTACCCATGATGGAATTGTGCCAGCATGTGTCTGGGACTAGTCTGGTGCAGGGGCAGGGATTACCGGCCTGACTCAAGGGTGGGACAATGCAGACGAGGGTAGGGACCTGGATGCAGCATCAGGCAAGGAGATTTCCTTATCTTTTGGGCCCATGGGCCTTCAGACCCACTTGCAGTGCAGGGCTGCACAGGCTGCTGGACCCTGGCAGTGGGGAGAGGAGAGTCCTGGGAGCAGGCAGGAGCTTTCCCAGCCTTGCCCCTTCTCCCTTTGGAATAGCTGACACCCACAAACGTGTGTGCTCCCGACTCTTCCTTCACCCAACACTGTGTGACTGCTCCCCACGGCACACATCAGCTGTACCTGGCTGGCCCACCTCCCAGAGGAAGGCAGGGAGGGGGACCTGTCACTCAACCCTGGCTGACAACAGCGGCTAAACATGCCCATGGAAAAGAGGATAGGAGGAGGACGGTTCTTTGCTTCATCACACTGCTCTTTGACAATGGCAAATAGCTTGATGCTGTCACTAGTTTTCTGACACCCATGGCAGGGTGTTCCCATGGAGCACCCTGCTATTACAGTCAGTAACACCTCATCATGCTGGCCAAGTTTTGAGGCTCTCAGATGTGCTTCCCTGGGTACCAGTGCCCAGCTCCCAGACAGGTGACAAACTCTGACTCTGTGAGGTTGCAGCTCTCCATGCCTCCTCCTCTCCCTTCTGGAGACTGCACCCTTGGGTGTTTTTGCCAAGATCTTCCTGGACAACAGATTCCTGGGCATCACGTAGCTGGGTTAGTGCTGAGACTGGAATGAAGACAGGCGAGAGCAGCAGGACCTGGGGGATGGATGTAGGGCTGTCCAATCCCAAAAAAGGTGGCAGCACCTGGGGTGGGTGCACCCCACAGAAACACAGCAGGACAAGGGATGAATAAAGAGCTGTCCCCCAGCTCTCCCCATGAGGTGTGGATGGAGGCTGGGCAGGACAGGGTGGGTGGCCAGAGAAGACACACAGGAGAATGTCTATGAAGAGATGGGACAAGCAGCACAGCTAGAGGTGGATGAGGACAGCATTACAGCAGCTCTGCTGTGGCCAGACCAGCCTCAGGGACCATCTGCCTGCATAGAACTGACGTACTGGTGCCATTTGGTTAGGACAGGGCAGTCGTGGCAAAGCACGTGTGCCCATTTCTCAGGTGTGATTCATGTCCTGCTGGGATCCAGGGCAAGCTCGGGTGTGATGGATTCCTCACATCCTGCTGCTGGGCAGCCTCCTGCCCTTGGGGTGCTGCATCACCCAGGATGGGAAGGAAGCATGTGACAAGGGAGGGTCACCACAGTGCCTGTGGAGGAGCAGTGATGTTGCAGGTACATGACTACAGTTGTACCTGTCTGGCACATAGGAGAACCAGCATGCAGAAAGCATACACTGTTCTCTATGAGCTAAAAGCAATTTGCCCCACATGTGGCTCTCCAGGACTGGATCTCTATCGTGCCTCTATCTGTGCACAAGGAAGTGAATGGACAGATTTGTCCATCTGTCTCCTGGCTCTAGTCTGTGTGCAGCTGCTGCCCACAGAGGTGTGGGCACCCTGGCCTAAGGCTGGGGTGTGTGTCAGGCAGCTGTGACATGCTGAGCATTGGTGCACATCTCACGTCTTGCTGTGGCAGGGATCTGACTGCACTGGTGCCACACTGCAAACAGGAGTGGCCAGGTGCCCAGCCCTACTGGGGCAAACGCCGTGCTCCCTGCAGGAGCCTCGTGCAGAGGAAGGATCCTGCACTGCATGTGCAAGTGCTAGATCAGCCAGCGTATCCTCTCTGCTTGCACCATGCCCACCCTGGTCTAGCTCATGTCCTGCTGTGGGCCTTGGCTAGTAAGAGTTAAACTCCAGATGAATTAATCCACTGCTTGGATTTTTTCCCTCTGCTCACCTTTGACCCTTGTCCTGTGCAGAGTCCCCTGGGATCCTGTGAAGCAAGCACAGCCTGTCCCACCCCCTGCCCTGCAGAAGGAGCCAGCAAAGGACCCAGCAGCACGTATGGGCTCCTCTCCCAGGGGCTGTCCTGTGGCACCACTATCACCATCGCAGCCTGGATCTGCTCCTGTTGCAGTGCCTCTGACGCTGCCTGGGGACCTCTCTGCCATGAATCTACCTTGCCTAAGGTCCCAAGAGATGGAAACACGATCAGTCCTCAGTGCTGCAGGAGCCCAGCAGTCCAGGGATGGACCGTGGTGTTGCACAGCATCCTGGCATACAGGACATGGCTACAGGCAGACAGTGCTTGGAGGCAGAGGCTGGGGTGAAGCTGGCATCTGCTCAGGACATCACCCTTGAGGTTGTAGCCTACTCCTGGGCAGTGGGCCCAGGGGACTGGAGTGCTTAAGGACAGTCAGGGTCTTGTTATCAGCATCTCCAGCACTGACAGGGCTGCCACCACTGTGAAGAAGAGTGGGCACCTCCATTCTCTGCTGTACTTTGGCACTTCCAGATGGATCTGCCCATGGCAAGGTGTGCCCAAGTTGAGCACATGGTCCCTGTCCTACTAGGTGCCCACAGGAGCACCCTATGGCCTCACTCCCTGCACTGCTGGCAGAGAGCTTGCTGCAGAGCTACAACCCTGTGCAGTCAGTGCTGCTGGGATAGAGAACTTCTCCCCCCAGCTTTCCCAGACCCCCAAATGTTACTTGTCTGCCTTTCCTTCTTCTGAAGGGTTGTAACCCTCCCAAGGTATGGGGGCACTGACACTCAGGGTCTCATCCTGCTGTGCTTTGCACCTAGAGCATCTGTGGGAACCAGGACACGTGGAGACCATAGCTCCCGACCATCTCAGAAGCCCCACTTGGAACTGGAGAGAAAGATCTCTGTGCTTTCTGACCAGAGAGAGACTCTAGCTCGGCCCCAGAACTGGAAGCTTGCATAAGGCCCTGGCTGCATGTGCTGGAGAGGGAGACTGCTTCACTATTTCCATGGGCAGGACATTCCTAAGACATGATTTGTCCTTTCCCAGCACCCCGCGGGGGGGCCCCCCCCCCCTTCAATTTCTTTGTCACACCGAGCGAACAAAGTTATTTTTTCCCCTTTTGGAACACCTCTAGAGCCCATAAATCATAATATTGAGACATGCTGTGGCCAAGAAAGGAAGGGTTTGGAAAAAGGATGGGGGTGCAGGAAAAATGCCACTCCTGGTAACCTACTCCTAAGAATCCCAACCTCCAGACACCATCAAACATGCCAGCCCTTCCAGCGGTTTCCAGAAGGCTTCACAGCAGCCACCTTGCCTTTCCAAAGACTTCACCTGTCAGGGTTTTGGCCATCAGGATGCTGAGGGGGAGCCAAGGAATCAGTTTTTCTGACTGCCCTAAAATCTGGCTTCATTCACAAGCTGTGTGTTAAAAGCAGGGTGACTGTTG